TCTGTGCATAAGGGTTGAGAGTTTCGACTGACGCGATCTGGCGAGTGACTGCAAGCTACAGCATTCACCATGAAACGCTATGGAACGCGAGTGACGTTTCGCGTGTATTTTTCAAGTATTTATTATTTTGAAATATCGTTTGCTCGTACTGAACCAAGACAACGTGCGGAATTCAGAGCACTTTTAAATCTGCATCTTTTCTTTGCCAGGAGCGCGATCCGGTTTCAGGAAAGTGTGTTTGCAAACGCGCCGGCTGGGAGCTCATCCCTCTCCTCGAAGGCCAGAGATGCGAACCGCCATGCAGCGCCGAATGGGGCCTGGTGAGCAAAGTCCAGCAGTACTGTGCTTGGGCATTTATTAGTTGGCGAGGCAAAAAACATGTTTAGCATTTTGCATGGTGCATGGGATTGATTCCAAATCAATTGAAAGTACTGGCGGATGTGAAAGGGGTCTGAAATATAAAATCAAATTCTTCTAAGTGGTTAATGTCGCAATGGCAGAGCACTTGAGCGCAAATTTTGCTCCACCATTCAACAGTAAATGGTAAGGAACTGTCTTCCACCTCCAAGACCGTGACGGGGAGAAGGAGATATTTTCAGTGTACATATTGTGTCCAAAATTTTTTGCATCAAGTACATACAACCCAAAATATCGCCGCTTCTTAGCGGAGATAGATTGCTTGCGAGAAGGACGAGCTAAGGAGACATCCAAGTAGTAGACAACGATCTGGTCTAATGTAATTGCCTCAGTATACACAATTTGCCAATTTTAAGGCACCCACTCACATGGAACCAAAGCCACAGCCTTTGCAACTTTCGAGCAAGCGCCCATGAGGCTTAGTGCCCAACGTTAAACCCTTGAATTCACTACCACAACAGATTATTTAACCTGTCTTTTAACTGCTTCCCCGCCTATCAGGTGCGCGATTTCCTTACTGGAAAATGCGTGTGCGAAAAATCGGACGTCGAATTCGTAGACCTGCCAGGAGGCCCGAAATGCCTGCCTCCCTGCAAACACCAGGTGAGAGATACTTCCATAACTTGAGCACTAAATTCGATCAAACGAGGACGATTTGATGCAGTGAAAGAGACACGATTTTGCAGCGCATAGGGGCGAGGCCAGACTCGGATGGAATCCTTGAATTCTGGCCCCTCAAACCCCCAAGAGCTGCAATCCGAGCAGTAGAGAAACCCGCCAAATTAGCCGTAGCAGTAGTGTTCTATTCACGAAAATGAAAGCAATCTAATTTACAGAAGTCACTGTTTAACGTTTGGCCAAACCGGATACAGATACTCCTGGTAGCGAGAAATTTGTGTGGATGTGCGTGGATAAGAAGTCGAACGAATTTCAAAAGTTTGGACGGGCGTGTTACTGGATTCCAAACACATGCATAGCGAGATGAGATCCAGCATTACTTAAAGCCATTTAGGCAACTCCAGATTGCGTCTTACAAAAGCAAAGCAAGATTTCTATGTCTTGATGGTACGACAATGGCTCCATCCACTTGTTCCATGTGCCCAAAATCCAATACACTCCAAACTGAAGTGATTGTGCGACTGCACTTTAAGGAAGCCTTTGAAGCGCAACTCTTGTGCCGTACGCTGGATCTTAAATACATCAAAATATGTTTGCGAATGCAGTTGAGAATTTTCTGGACCTTAAAACCACATTTTGACCCCATTTACTCTCAGGACGACAAGCGCAATCCCAAGACAGGGGACTGCGAGGACGAAAACGATGACTGCGAGGAAGGCTTCAAGAAAGGTGACGACGGATGCGTGGAAAAGTGTGATGCCGAAAAGGTGAGCGGTGCAGGGAAGCATGAGAATGTTCGAATACCTGATTTGCTTGCACAGCAGTCGAGTCTCAACATTGTAAAGTCGGAGTTGTGCATTGTGTGTCCCAAATCTGGGCTCTGATAGTGATCTGCTGTGCCAAGGCAGTATCGCTATCCTCCCAAATTGCAGGAATTATGAGGAGAAGCTTGAGTATCACAACTCTTGTGCCTGTAGAGTATAAACGCCGTTTCGAGCACCATGAAGTACTGAACCTTGTGCAGCAATAGTGTTTACACCATTCAAGGAGTTTTGATCCGTGCACGACTTGCTGTGGCTGTCGTTCGCCTAATACACTCCATTCGTCTTGCAACGCAGCCTACAATCCACGTGAGTTGATTGTCAAATGCTGAACGTCTCTTGATCTGTGTTTTTTGGACACTTGCCGAAAGCAAGGCAGTTGCCGGACTGCTCCACCCTCAATGATTTCTATGTTTAAATGTGTACTGCAAAGGAAATGCAAGGCACAAGGGAACTGATCGCTACATCGCATCGATGTGTTTTCCTCCATGGTCAATATCGTTTGGAGGATTGGACAACGTTTGAACGGATGAACCGTTCTGTATTTGCCACCTGGATGAGCCGTTCCGCAATTGCAAACCATTGACTTGATTTTTTGTGCTTAAATAACGCAACTTGGTGCACACAGTTTGAGACATTCGACAGCGCCATCCACATGTGCACGTGCATGGAGGGACACAAACGGGACGTCGCCACGGGCAAATGCACGCCTCTATGCGCAAAGGACCAAACACTGGACGAGTACGGCGTGTGCCGCTGCGTGGACGATGCCTACAGGTAGCGATCCGCTTGGTTGCGTTGCCAAGCAATTTCAAGCAACTTCTCGAGTCAAATATGTTGAACGGAGTCCTCCATCACCAAATGGGGGCCAGGACACACAATTTCACCTAAAGATTGTTGTCTTGTCCTAAAAGAACACAACCAAAAATGGATTGGCGCACCTCCCATGGGGAATGAAGGTGAAAATCAACAAGGGCGAATATCAATCAGAATAAAATTCATGAACAAACCTACCTGTATGCAGTAGTGCATCCAAGACTGTTGATCCAATATCCTTCGGGCTGGGTCGGCACTTGACTCAGAACTTAGCATATTGGTCCTGCTCCCACTGTGCCTGTACAGGTGCTAGCTCGATCTCAATGTCTTAAGCAGCTCAATGCCAAACAATTTGCCCAACATCCAGTTGATCAATGAGCGCCCAACATTAATTCCTCGCCCTTGAGGACGAGAAAGTCATCCGCAATTTCTGCTCAAAAACTATCGCTCAGGTGAGCTCGTGCCCGTAGGGTCGACTGGTGGGGCGCCTGCAGCGCCTGCGACGCGCACTGTGCGCCGGACATGTGCGTGGACAGCCACCTGTGCCTGCAGTGCGACAACGACAACGGCTGGTACCGCGCGGAGTACAACACCTGCGTGCGCATACCTGAGAGGCCCATGCTGAGGCGGCTGATGTCGGCGCTGGACAGCTGGGGGTGGGCGGGCTCTGGAGGAAGGAAGGTGGCTCCCAGGAGGAGGGGTTGAGGGGGAGAGATGCGGGAACGGATCTCCTTTTCAGGTCCCTGGCTGCAGTTGATTCAGCGCTGGAGCGAGGCAGGCAGCGGATTGCCAGGCTGACGAATGGAGGGGACGAGGCGGCTTGATGGGGAGGCCTGTTGGCGGAGAAGGGGCCGGGATTTGATTGGCCGGGGGGGGGGGGGGGGGAACAGGACATTTTGTGTGCATTTCATTGAGATTTGGCGGGCAATTGGAGGGGGTTCGTGGCGCCTGGGCTCATTTCGTTTGGCTTGCCTTGGGCTTCTTTCACTCGGGTTGCCAGCTTCAGGGCCTCGCGATTCTTCTGCTCGAGGGGTGTTTTTGTGGCTTTTCCGAGATTTTGACCGCTTCCGGTGCAGAATGTAAATCGGTGCCCATCTCATCGCGTGCGAGGACTCTCGCGCGGCGACTGGACGGTGCCCCTCCGTTTTGCTGACAAAAGACTCGCTGGTGCAAGCGCGTGGCTTCATCGTTTCAGAACACACTGCACGTGGCGCAGTCGCCCCAAAGGGTGCTCTAGTGCCCGGTAACACTGGTGGAAATGGCACCAAAACAAGGGCTGGTATCATGCAATATGCAACCACTCAACCACGTACACACAACCAATGCACGATAGTTTTGACGAATTTCAATTGATGGGGTCAATCATCAAACGTGGCTAAACATTGGAATGGAACTGTGAGGCATGGACATTTCTTGGCGGTGTCCCCCACCCAATATCAACATTCCTGTCTGCAGTGGACGGGGGAGATTTCCAGGAGCATGACTGAATCCATCACCGGCACCAGGTCGCAGAAATCTGCATCCCGGGCGCACCAGCTCACGCGGCCCTTTGGTTGAGAAACGTCAACAATTAGATGATCAATTCGGCATCAAATACAGTGCAAATGTGAATGAGGTGAATGTACAGGTTCCCCTCTCAGGGACCCTCTATCTGCGCATTGGTGTGTGTGCGCGTGTGTAATTCCTGCAAGTCGCTCCAGCCACCACCTAACTATCAGTCCCGCCCCATCGCAGCACCACGAAACACACAGGAACGGGTGCTCCCTCTTCCAAACCCCCTCCCCCTCGCCTCCCGGCTCATTCTCTGCAGATTCTTTGCAGAATTTCTCTGTAAATGTCCCCATCCATTGCGCACAGTTCTGTCCCTCCCCAGTCCCATTCTCTGGCCCTTACTAGCAACTCTGAATTTCAGCACGCCGAAGCAAGCCAGAATATATCCCCCGCCTTCCTTTTCTTCAACGCGGTCTGCTTCCAAACCTGGAACCACCCAACAACAGCCCCCACAGTCTCTGCTTCGTGGTCTCAAGGTGGGCTGGAATGCCCCAATTGTGACCTTAGAAAACACCTTTCCCACACAAATATGTGGCCAGCTCATGGCATCACCAATACCAGCCAACTGAACGGAGACCATATCCCAGGACATGTCACAGCAGCAGCAATAGCAGTACCAGCACCCTTCACTGAAAAAGCAGCACAACACGATGCCGTAAAGTACCAAGGATTGAGCCGGTTTTGCACTGAATAGTGTTTGCCACATCTACCTGCATTAGAACAATATAGCCGCAACAGTTCGTCCAACAGTTCGTCCAGCAGTTCTTCCCTTGTGCGTCACGACTCCTCCTCTTCATCTTCGTCTTCATCGTCTTCATCTTCGTCATCGCCGTCTGGGTCTTCTGCCGCATCCCCATCTCGCTCGGACGTCATCTCTCCCGTGTACCACGAAACTGCGTTCGGAATGACCATGTCCTTCAGGTAGCACCCCACCTCAAAATCGTCCTCCACAAGCAGTTCTGTGAGATCGTTGATGTCCTCGACGTCAGGCACATCCGGAGGAGTGAAAAAATCGAAGAATGTGTGGACTTCCACCTGTGGACATGTTCCTGATCATCCAAGGCTTGTCTTTTTGACATCAAAATGGAAAGAGTACATGCATGCATGGATACAGGCGTAGTGAATACGACATACCCATCACTGCACATGTTCTTCCTGACTCTGAAGATCAGATAACATCAAAAAGCTATTGAATGGAGAGCTTCCTTGTATGGGAATCCTCAAAACATGCTCTCTTGTAATCTGTGCCAATCTCTGTTGCATCCTGCTCCTGTCCCACTGAGTGCGCACTCAGAGCGTTGTAAACCATCTTCTGCAGTGTGCAACAGCTCTGGGGGGTGAGCAACATCTGTTGCTGCATGCTCATTCCCAAATTTCAGACTGCTGGGTTGCCTTCTGCACAATGAACTGCCTGATAGTGTGGAATTTCTATCAGCCAACCATATGCCACTTCCATGGCATGTCAAGCAGTGCAAAACGAAGTAGAAAACGAAAAAGAGTGAACAGTACAAGAAAGGGGAAAAAGCAGAAGGGAAGTAAAAGAAACAAAATAAAAAGGGAACTGAGCCCTGAGCACCTAATTAAGGTGCCTAATGGACAAATTGCCTAGGCCATTCTGCACACCGAACAACTAAATGATGGTTGCCATCTTCTTGATGGTATACATGCAGGATCTTGTTCACTTTCGACAACATCGATCCAAGGACTGGTAGCAATCGAACAGGTCTGCAGTAACCATCTGTACCTTTTTGGTTGTAGGCGGAGTGCCCACTGGGGCGCTCTTTTTGGGCTTCTTTTTGACGATCTTGAAGGATGGGTTGTGAGCATCATCTGTCCACTCGACTTTTGTGCCATCTGTGTGTTCTAGCACACTCTCGTCGTCACCAAGGTAATATTTTTTCTCAAGAGTCAGGGGTGTGAAGTAGGGATTGGGAGCAAACTGCAAAACCGCACACATTGCTTCTGCAACCGTTCTTGCTGAAGTAAGACAGATGAACGCAAATTCTTGGCGCTGTTGATACAGCATCAAGCAAAGAGTTCGATCATTTTGTTGAAAGCCGCAAGCTCAATTGGTGGGTAGGGTGTGTGCCATTTCCAAGATTGAACTAGTGAAGACATTCCAGTCTCAAGACTTTGTCAAAGTTCACAAAAATCCATATATACAATAGCAATCGCATTTCACTTCTTGTTGTTTGCTTTGAGTCAATGCCAGTGCCATACACATACTTTGGGCTGTACTTGTCCTTCTTAGATCCGCTGATATGAGCAAAACTCTTAACTCATCACTTGATCGGCCAGTAGAGTACAACTCAATGGGAAGGAGCTTTTCTCTATCCAGAAGTACTGCAACACATTGAAGAGCCCAGGTGCCACTCTAACTGAAGGGATGTGGGTCTTGTGCCAGGCAAAGTAAAGCCTGACGTATTGATCGCACAAAATTGATTGCACAATCCCAATGAAGAGAAGTTTGGAGAAGTGATGGTGGTGGCGGGGGTAAAGTGGAAGGGAGGGTGGGTGGGTGCTGATGAGAATTCGTGGCAACATGCAATGACTACTTTGCTCTATTCAGCTCACCCGATTCAGTAATTGCAGAGAACTGGTTCATAATCGAAAGCCCAAGTGACATTTTGATCTGCACTTTGTGATGTCACACATCACCTAATCACCTATTAGAATGCAGCAATAATGTTGTTGCTGCTTAGCAGCTTACACAGGGTTGTCACCAAAATCGCATTCCCACATCATACCAGGAGGACAGGAAATAGGACCATCCCCCACTTCAATACAGTGGTGTTGAATGGGTGGGAGCAATGATCGGGATAGTGCAAAGGTGATTATCGCCCTTTGGAAAACTGCTGGTTGAAGCATCCATAATGGGCTGTGGGTTGACAGCAAGCCATTGAAAGCTATCTCCTCTCTTTTGTTCCCCTCCCTATCTGCCCCTCTCCATTAGCATTCAAAGCAGCCAAAGACAACGGGCAACTGCAAAAGCACTTCGCATCCCTGCCCATCGTACTGCGGACGTCCATTGCAGGAAATGTAGCAAACAAAGCCATTGCGTTGCTCATTGGTGGGTAACTTCATACCCACAATCCTTTCCTTCTCTCTTCTGCTATAATCAGGATGTCCTTGCACACCGCTAGAATTTTGATGCTATCTATTCCTTCCATTCCCTTGATGCCATGTGTTGAAATGTGAACTGCACAGACCTTGCACCTGCAAGGCAGTGTCAGGCACATGGCTGGGCATGAAATTGTGACACCATCTGAATACCTGAGTTTGACAGTGCCCTGACTTGCTGGTCGTTCCCACATTACCCAGCATATGAATGTGTGCATCAATTCCATGCCCTCCATTGCCCCGTCCCTCCCCTTTCCCCATTGCCTATCTGCTACCCGCCCCTGAGTGCAATTTTTCTTGCTATAGGTGGTCCCTGTGCTGTGTTCCGATCATCTCACACTGGAAGACTCCACATCATCTCTCACACTATTTAGGAAAGTGTTCCAACACACACATGCAATTGGCACTCCTTTAGGGCACCCTTGCTATGGTGTGCAAAAGGGATTCATGCCCTCCATGCTGCTGGACTTGGCTTTTGCTAAGTTTAGAGGGAAGTGCGTGTTTTGGTTGTTGTATAGCCCAGAAGGTGCCCGGAAAGAGCCTCGCAGCTCCCAGGCCCGATTGTATGATTTACAACGTTGTAACATCTTGACACACACACTCTCAGTGGGGTTGCCCTTTGCACGAATTGTTTTCTTATTAAAGACGAAAAGGGCACAAATCCTGCCCCCTCCGCCGCCACCCACCTGGAACACGATCTTGAATCCCGCCTTGTCGCCCTCCCCCTCAATGGGGGCGCTGCTCAGGTCCACCAAATACTTCAGAATCGGCTCATCCCTCCTCGTCACGTGGTCCCACACGAACTCGGCGCCCCTCAGCACCTTCAGCCAGAATCCAGGCACGGCCCCAAGCTCCTCACCGCCGCCCTCCCCCATCACAATCGCCCTTCGTTCAGCATACAGGGGCTCGTATATTGCCCTGTACTTGGCCTCCATTGCCTTCCTCTCCTTGGTGAAATTCTCCAGCACATCATCGCACTGCTTCTGAATCCCGCGGAGGGTCTCCACGCGGCCCCGCAGGGCCTTAGGAAGCGACTGCAGGAACGCCTGGACGTCTGTGGACCCGTCGCTGTCGGCGGGCATGGCAGCGATGCGGTGGATCAATGCGATGCGCGGGGCAACGATGGTAGGGCTGGGACTACGCCGAGGTAGAGGCAGAGGCTGAAAACAGGGCGCCCTGGGGCGGTTTGGGGCCCTCTATGTGGAGTGGTGGGTGTTGTGGGTTTTTGGGGCGGCGGCTGCGAGGAGGGGCGGGTAAGTATCGGTTGCGCGGTCATGTCGCATCAAGACATGGAAACGGCCCAAAAAAGGGATATAGGAAAATGAGGGAGCGGCATGGTGGCAATGGGGAGCATCGTGGCCGTATTTCGCACCATTTATTTTTTTTCTGGCGTCGACTTTTCCTCGTCAAGAAATCTTGCGCGTCAAGGCGGGGAGGCTGCCTTCTGCTGCTTCTTCTCCTTGTGGTGTTGTTATGAACGGTAGTGAGATGGATAGGAGCAAAAGGGACGGGTGCCTGTGCCTGTTAGGGTTTTCAACGGAGACCGGTCTCCCCTGCCACGATCGGTTGCTTGGCTCGGACTATTAGTCCGGTTCATATGCACTGAATGTATGCAGTGAGCCCACTACCTGACATACATCAAATGTAAGTAGCGAACCCACTACTCTACTCACTCCTCACTACAAAATTGACACCTGTGCGAAGCCGATTAGAAGGACCTTTGTGCTTGGACGCCCGAGTGCGATGACGGCTTGGATGCATCTCATTATAACAGGCGGGTGTTCCATTCTCAAACTGAGGCAGCGCTCTGTCCAATATCCCACATTGCCATGACAGGGACCTCAGGAACGTCGGGGTATCTTCCTAGACGTCCTTCCCCTGCGGTGGTGCAGCGATGTTGCATGTAGGCCTATTTTGTTGCGCTTTGCGTCAGATCCAGGAAAATCCTCAGCAACATCGAGTTTGCACTTCCATGCAAAGTTTGCATGGAATGTAACGAATGCATTCAGGGCTAGCAGCAAGGGTTGCAACGATTAGAGGGGCTGACAAATGGGATGCTTGAAGCGATGGCTCGCAAAGAAGGCCGTCCATTGAGCACCGTGTATTGAACGCTTGAGGGAGGTTTTTGAAGAAGACGTGACTCGTTTGCTGCTGATCAGCGGCGTTTTGTGCCGCTTCGTAAATTGTGTCGATTGCGCGGCAATCACACAAAACTGTCAGCGTCACAGAAAGCCCCGACACTCACGCCCTCGCCGCCAATTCATGCTGAGCACAAAATATCTGACACGGATCGTGCGTTCCCTTAGCATTGGTCTTGTTGCCAGTTTCCTCCAGTAAAGAGCAGCATATCCACGCAGTAGACAGCTTCTATCGGAATTGAACACACGCGTTGGCGCCCTCTGAGCCATGGCTTTCGCTTAGCCCACAATCCCATTCAGCCAATTTGTCAGGCATGGCAGACCGCTGCCCTTTCGCCTGCCAGGCGATGGTGGGCCTTGTTTAAAGCGCAAAGCCTCTGCGTTGCCACAACACTTGTCCTGCCTCGATAGAGGCAGCATTTCCAGAAAGTGAACACACATTTGTATGAATCGACAGCAACTCCAGACTGGCGACAGCTCCAGAGTGACTTCCCAGTCGACAAGTGCGAATATGAGTCGGTCTTTTCCAGAACAAACACAGAACATGTTGTTACAGTTGGCGCTGCCGCCGAATGCACAAATCCAAAACCCTGTCCTCTTGCACCCCTGGACCGCAGGTCCGCTGCCCTGCCCGTCTGTCCCATCGCCCTCGTTTTCTGCATTGATCAACTGGGCGCCCAAATACATTGTTCCAGGACGTGGCACCAATCCTGTGCCAATTCAAAAGTTGCCCTCATGCACGCCTGTGCGCTCAACAAGCCAAATGCTTCTGAAGCCTTGCGCCAGTCAACCGCTGCGACAGATTTCAAGGCCAGCCGCTGTGTCTATTGGTGCACTGGCCAGCCTGCAAGCGGTGCTGTGGAACGACGTTTCAGTGCCCACCAAACGCTCGAGGTCGTGCATTTCACGGCACACACTGGAATGAAATCACAAGAGCCATCAAATCCTACAAGCCATTGCATCATCTTCTGTGAGAAGGAGGCTGCCGTACTGACACAGAAAGTAGGGCAGCCCGCCCCCCCGGACACCGACCTCACGGCTCCCACTGGATGATCGACACCGAAATTCAGCAGCTCCCCAAAATAACTCACCAGACGCTTACCCACTGATGTCCGCACTTGAGTCCAAGTCTGAGCCGTAACAATAAAACAATGAACAAAATCCCGCTGGACGTGGCAAGAAGTAGGTCCATCGACCCACACTCTCCAATGTCGTTGGCCCCCGACAGGGCACACAGCCCCAACCACATATGTGGCTTGTCCCGTTCTTTATGAAATATGTGGAGCAAATTTGCCCAGCACGTTATTCCGAGCGTGATCGCGTCCCGCACCTGTGCTCACAAAACCACTGATCCCTACCCTACAACAAAACCACCAAGGCCCTGAACAAAATGAAAGCCTTTGCAACCTCAGAAAATGGCCCATACAGACGACAATCTTAAGTCAAATGTGGGTATGTAGCACGCCATCGTGCTCCCTTCATACCCGCCTCATTGCCTAAGACGAACTTGTTGTGGTGTGATTGTGCCGAAGTGCATGGTTTGCCAGCAAATCGGTCCTTTCACGTAGGTGTGCAGCCATCATAGTGCCACAGCAACAGAGACCACCCCCCTGTCTTTTCCCGTTGACAACCCTAACCCTGTGTCCTATCTGTGCTCCAACCTCAAAACGAAATGATCAAAAACCCTGAATTTCAGCAAAAGCACTGGAAGAAACATATTCTCAAACTTACACCTCCACCACAACTGGCGAACCCCATTTCCTCATTGGCTCCCTGCCAGGCGTTGGCAGCTCCAACTCCAGCCGTGCTACCGCCAGCCCTGCCCCCTGCAGCATCCGCTGCAGAGCGCTATTCTCCAGTGCATGCCGTGGCGCACGGGCCACAAAACCAGTTGGGCACCCACCATCGTTCGATTCTTCCAATGCCCATCGCCAACGTGGCCTATGACCAACCTGCGTAAGTGCGTGCATAGCTTTCTGAAAAACGACGCATTGGTTATGATATGAGTTTGCACTTACGGGGCTCAGATGGTCAACACATCCATCCTGTTAGCAGTCCAAAAGGTGCTCCTAATATTTGGCAAAAAAGACACCACACCCCCCATGTCAACAACCCACACAAAGTACTGTACACAAGTACTGGATACAAGTAATCACAGTGCTGTAACACCCTCAACACAGCACCATAGCACAGCACACAGTTTCGCTGACAGCAAACAACACAGAGGCACCCCAAAGTTTATTTATATCCAAGATGGTAGCAGACCTGTCTGCATGCGGTTGGGAGCCCAGCTTGGCATGGTTGGGAGCGCCACCGGCCATCTGACGCGCTGATGTAGACACACATGGGGCCATTGGCAGTGGAGTTCTTCTGTGGCTGCCCTGGGGCCCAGCTCCATATGGTGGCAGCTGCGCGCTGCGGGGTGAGCAAATCGGGGGAGGGGAAGTTGATTCCACAGTCGTAGGCACGGGGCAGTGTGACATTGTCGAGGATCGGACTGCAGTTGGCACAGAGCGTCAGGCGATGAGATGGAGTGAGGCGAGTAAAATGGAAGGCGGAATAGAATAAAACGAATGAAACAAAAGAGTGAATGAATGGATGAATCAATGAAGGAATGTATGAACAAATGAACATATCCATTTCAGAAAATGACCAAAACGTGATGGCACGTATTTCTGCTGAAATTAGAGCACAGAGAATGGAAGGTACCATATCTCTTTTTGTTCTTTCGAATTTGAAGATGATCCCATTTGGTAAATTCTTCTTTTGGCACATTTCTGGGCAGTGCCAGTGCAAAGGCTGTTGGTGTCAACAGGTGGGCAAACAATGTGTCAAAATGGACATCCCTCGCCTGAATGAAAGTTCTTAGTGAAAGTCCTTCGAAGCTGAATGAAGCACGGGTCTCAATGTACAGCAAACATTGCATACAGCAAACTGCAACAAAGATAGGGACAAGGCAAGCATACTTACCCATCGGAGTCAGACGCGTGCAGGCCGCAGTCGAATACCCCATATGTCAGCTCGCATGTCTCCACACGCATCACTTGGCCATACATGGTTGGATCGCATGGCTGTCCAGGTTGTTCAACGATGCATGAGCAGCTTGGAGATACAAGGAGGGCTCCCAGGCTGGGCTCAGTCCAGTCACACATGTGGCGGCTGGCATCACACACATGTCAAGCAAGGTACATCACATATCAAGGGTAGGAGGTGTACCTCAGCTCCCACTTTGACCCAAGCAAGTCAGGGGAACCACTCAACACAAGTCAGTGCTTCGTAAACATACAGTCTGTACACTGCTTAGTTGTTGCTGAGCAAACCCAGTGCTTAGCACAGAGCTACGGACATGTTGTTTTCAGGTGCAGTTCGGAGACCTCTCTGCCTACTTCTTATGGGTCAAAGGGCCTCACAAATGTGTTCAGGAAGGTGTCGCTGTTGCATTTGTCTACGAATATTTCAACCCTTTGTTCCATGCACAAAATTACAAAACACTGCATCCCAAAAGCACATCGGGTGTCTTTCTGGCCAGAGTGCCTGTTCCTGAAAGTTTGTTTCTGTCACAACACAGCGTTACACTGTTTTGCCAAACAATTGCTGATTGCGACTGAAAACAATTTCATGAATTTTCACCAAGAAGTGAAATAAATGCTTGGATCAGCCACGCTCAACCCGCCTAGAGAGTCTTGCCTCCCAAAACGACTGTGACAAATCCTGTTGTACACAACGACAGCATTTCTTGTCAACATATGGAGACATAGAAGGAAAAACCAAAGGTGCGTCAATACTGTGCCATTAATCAGGCAAGAAACACACGCTGTGCATGCCATGGTTCTTGACAATTGCGAGCAGCAAGAACTTCTTTTGCCCTGCAGTCTTTCTTTCACAACATTCATATGCCTACTTGCTGAAAATGAGCTTCCATGAGTCCCTGGACCACTCCTCATCGACGATGAACAGGATACGTCTCCCCAGAGCCAGCATCTGTGCAAACGATGGCAAAGGGCCACTCTCGAAGAAAGCTTCAACATCAGGTGGTGTGAAGATCAGCTCTTTTGGAAACACCTCCAAAATTGTGTTCATTAGCAAATGAAGTTTGCCCTGAACAGGAGACAAGCACAACAGAGAAGTGCATCAGCAACTCATTGCCACTGAGGTCCTCAACGTAATGCAATGCAGTGAGATGTAATGATTGGGAAGCACGATCTCTGTTGAAGGTGCTGGTTTCAGGTGGACATTGTTGACCCCAAATTGGCGAGGCTGCGAATATATTGGCAGACGAAGCACCCACAGAATGAGAACCAAACAGACTGCAACATTTCATTGGCACACGGCAACAAACAGCTAACCTACCCATTGCTGAATGTCCATCTGCGCGTCCAACAAAATGGTCACAAACTGGTCTTGGTTCTCTGTCCGATTCATCCACAGTGCTATTTCCTGCAGGGCATCTCTGAACAGCCTGCAATCCATAGGCACTGTGAAAGCACCACCACACAAACAAGCAGCAATATGTTGATCGGTTCTTTCAGGAGGGCAGGCTTGCAGTTCCAGCGTATGGGTATGCTGGTGGTGCTTGGCTGGCATAGGGTAGGTTTGAGCTGAATGGCTGTATTTTCTGCTATTCGATAGTGGTTGTGGTGAACAAAATCTTTGGCGATGACACAAAATGGTGTCCTTGCATGTGTGGTGTGGAGTTGGGAGTGGGTGGGGAGGGTACGTAGTGTGAAAAGGGGCAATACAAAGGAGCCAAGAGTGTCTAACTCATGCAACACTGCGTTTGGGGCTTTGTTTGCATTGACAACCTCTGTTGCCTGTTCACTGCGCCCGTGGAACAACGATGTTGACACAACAAGTAGCCTTGCACAAGCACAGTTGTGCAACACCAGTCTTATCGATTCTGCCAAGCTGTAAACCAGTCTTGCGCTTGAGCGTGCAAGCTTTGACACCACCACTGTTCCAAAATGTACATGAGATTTGCATAATTCTGGTACACTGCAGATGCCATAAACATCCACGTCGAAGCAGCTGATTGACTGATGGGGGCTCATGGATTGATGGACTGGGTGTCCGACAGACGAGCTAACTGATTGGATCAATTCTTCTTACCTTTCATCGTGCACTCCGATGGAACTCATGCTTGGTTGGCAACCCACTGTCTCTGAGTCCCAAAAGACATGGTCCCCCAACAGCTTGGCCACTACATTCAACACCTTCACCAAATCGTCCAATGGTTTGCTGTGAATTCCACCACAGTGGGCAATCCGGAGCTTGTGCTGAGGAAGGAGACACCAAAATGGCATTTTAGCACAGGAGCCTGGGTGGCTCTGGGTGGTACAGTTCCCTAGAAGAGTGATAGTGACACTGACAGAGGTGCAAAGATTTGAAGACAGCACTGAACAAGATGCCACGCACTGTGCCTGTTGGTATGGCCGGTCAAGCTGTTTGTGCCTGGTGGAAAAAACAAAAAGGAATGGGAAAATAGGTTCGACCTAGTCCAAATTGAGGATCAATCCAGTTCAGCCATATGGTGGTTCGATTATTTAGTCCAAATCGAGGGAAACCTGGTCCAAAATTGGGGTCCAACTTAGTCCAGCCACAGGGAGCACAGATGTTGGACATCTTGCGCTTTTAGGAGCTGATGGCCATGAAGGTTGTTTGAGCGTTTTGTTCACGGTTGTTTATGGTATTGGGATTTGCTTTTTTTAATTTTTCATTTGTAGGGCCAAGACTCAATTTGGACTGGGTATCCCTCCTCTGAGCTTGGACTAGACTGAACCTCAATTTGGACAATGTTTACCCTCTACACCCAAAGAAAACAGCACTACAGGAGAGTGAATTTGTGAACAAGCTATCTCCCAGCAGCTGCCATTGGCAGCGAGCAGCTCAGAAGTGTGGCAGCAAGTCCACCCTGGATTTCATTCAGATTGCATGCAACCATTCTGTTCCACAAACATCCACCTTCAGATTTGCAGAATGTGGAATGTGAGAATTGCAAAGAGTTGCCAGGTGCAGGTGTTTCCACCGAAAAGATTCACCTCATGCAAGTGCCAATAAGAGCCAACAACAGCACTTGAAAACCTTTGCACAGCATCTGTAACAAACAGCAAATACAGACAGAATGGCACTGCACATGATTGACTGGGCCTTCTGTATGTGCCCATGCAGCAATGCCCAGAATCCATCATAGGATTTTTTGTGCCAAAGCAAAAAGGCAGACTTCCTGTGCCAAATTGCTAACTCTCTATCCAGTGTAAAAAAAGGTACCCTCAACACCCATGGGTAGCCTGATAATGGAACCTCCCATGCTGAGGGGTCCCATCGCCAGTGGACTTCATCATCACGGCAGGAAAGGACTCCAGGCTTTTCAATTTTTTTCCCTTGCTCGGGATTGCTTGTTTCAAGATAAGGGAAATAGCATTCATGACGTAGGGTTGGATAGATTTGTAGCCATCACTACCTCAACAATGCAAGGGCACTGCTTTGTTGCTTCACCACTTTTGGACAAGCCCAATCAAACAAGACACCATCACCAAAGGAAGAACAAGAGTGGTTACCTCTACATAGTGTACATCGAGCTCCACCAGACGAACACCCATGTTTAATTGATCAGTCAAGCTGAACCACTGGTCGTTGGTTTCAAATTTGGCGTCAGCATCCTGAAGTCCAAGAACAAACGTGCTCAGAATTTGCTGTAGCAACCCTGCAGTTCAAAGATATGAGGCCTGAACCATGCAATCGTGGAGCCCATGCACTTTGCCAGAGATTGATGAGATGATTCTCAGACATAACAGCGGTGGATATGAGTAGCCCTACTCGATGTACCCACAAAGAGTCGATGCTCTTCTAATATGTTGACCCGAATATGTGCCAGACAGGTTGACTTTGTTTGCTTCATGTGGAATGTAAGGTCATTCCAGTCAGCTCAGTCCCCCGTGTGGACGATCATGATGCTGAAAGATGCAACTGTCACAACACTGAACACAATATGCAATTTTCGCAAATCTGTGTGCAGCTCATTCGGTGGAAAAGCAAACAGGAAAAGTGGAACTGGCAGGGTTTGCCTGCTGCTATGCCATGTTTGGGAGCAGCATCTGTCACTCTCTGTTCCCTGTTGCATTGTGCCGATGCGACAGACTCAAGCCTTTCACAGTATTACAGTGGTGAGGGAGTGCTTCAACCCTTGTGCAAAGCAGGCAGAAATGAAACAACAGATGGTACCCAAAAGGCAGTGAAGCATACAAAATTCTTGTGCTACATGTCTGATATCAGTCATGTTTTGGGGGCAAACACTACGAACAATGTCTTTGAATACGCTACAAGTATCATGCACAATGCTGATGTCAACGTGAGCAATCAATGCACCCCACATGCCTTGCGTACAATGGCCAAAAACAGTCATGGTGAAGGCAGCATTCTCGATACAAAGAAACACCCAAGATACTGCCCAACCGATCGCAGCCCCTCCCTCCCTTCCACACAGGAACAACATGAGCAATCAATGCGCATTGACAGGGTTTGCGTACAATGGCCAAAATCAGTCATGGTGAAGGCAGCATTCTCGATATGACGAAACAACCAGGATATTGCCTAACTGCTCACAGTCCCCCTCCCTCCCTTCCACACAGGAAGTGATATGAGGCTGGAATCTCAAAGTGTGGCAAGACCAGGTCCACAAGACCTCAAAACACCTCAAAAGACCTCAAAGGAAAGGTAACTTTCATGCTGTTGGTTCCTGTCCAATGTTCTTGTATCACCAATACACAGCTTCTGGAAAGCTACCATCAATCACATTGAACGACAGTTTAAAAGGCGGACAGAACTTCTGGGAAAATGGGCAACTTGCTGTCAGCAAAGCAACAGAGGGCTGACTTACCATATGTTTCATGAACTTGAAGTACTGCTGAAAATGGAGGTCCCTGTTGCCGTAGCCATTGGCAAGGGTGATGGCACTGTTGTGTGTGCCAGAAAACTGGGAGTAGCAGAAGGGCAGTTGGCTTGCCAGCTCCACCTGAGCCAGACACACATCATTCAATCCACTTACAGCAACATTGTCACAAGCAGAGCAATAAACACAACACTGGAACAAACATAACAAAAATCATTGCTACAATCATTCATTGTCCAATAGACAATCAAGAATTGACTGTATGAACATTTACAGTCAAGGCACTTGTTTCACTATTAAGGTTTGTGAACCTTTCGTGCACCGCAGAACACAGAATGACATGCTCTCCTTTCTGTCACAATGAACTTTCCACCTTGGAAACACCACATGTCTGTGTATTGGCACCACAAAGGAAGCAAGCCTCTGAATAACATCTAGCCAGTCAACATAAGGACAACATTCAATGACCTGGTGTACATAATGGGAAATTCAACAAAGGCTAGGCATTCTGCCATTGCGCAAGCACAAGGCATGTGAGCTCAATTGGAATAGCCAAAGACAAGACATTGCAGTATTGCAGTATCGCTGTATTCTGTTGAAAATCACCAATTCTCACACAGTTCTATGTGCTCCAGTGATGCCTGGGCATCCCACTACCTGCGTCCTGATGGCATTCACCAGCCATTCGTCCAGTCTGACAGTTCCTGGCTTGCACACCTCCGAACAGATTCCTGTTTTCTTGTATCTGTCACACCTGCCAATCAGGAATGGGCATCAGAGAGTGCCAGAATGGCTGTATTTGACACACATACCAGCAGACCTGAGGCCGTATTCCCTCCACCTGTCAAAATGGAACAGTCTTCCTTTGGTTTCATAATGCTACTATTACATTCAAGAGATCATTCACCTGTGATGTCAAGGGCAGGGCTGCAGCGACGGCCTTTCATAAACACAGCAGACTTCAGATAGACAATACTAGGCCCCATGCAGGTGATTAGCTTCAAGGTTGCAGACATACACAGAAACTTACACACACAGCACAGACACACAACAGTTTCTGGTGTTGATGGCATGGTGTTTGGCAACGTTGCTTTTGTTTACGGTACAGCAGCCTGAAATGCCTGGTGCATGCATCCATCAGGCTCAACCCACAACCTTAAACATTAGATTGCAGATAAAGTTCAATCCGGTTATTCTCCGCGTGGGTTTGCACCTAAAATCAGTTTTGTGGGTGCAGAGAAATTGCCTTGTCATTTTCCGACCAATGCATCCACGGATTTACAGCCGCAGCCTTGGCGAATGCTCGCTCCGTCCCTTGCAGCCATCCAGCGCTCTTTTCCTAGGATGCCCTGCCGCGCACTAGCGGTCATCGTCTGCATGCAGCACGGCGCCTCCTGGCAGCGTCCAGCCCCCAGTTCCGGGCGGTTGAGGAAGACGACGCAGCACACATCGAGGCGCATCAATGCGTTGCACGTCCTGTTTTACCCTCGCTGGTGCTCGCGGATCGCGAAGCAAGCCGACGGGCCAGCCCCGTCACCGATTGCCGAGATTTTGGGATCCCGTTCGTCTCCGCGGTGCAGAACAGAGTCCCTAAACATCTCGAAGGTGTCTTAGGGCATTTGTCGCGTCCAGAACATTTCTCCACAACGCGTTCGCCTGCTGGCACCCGCCATGGGTGCCAATAATCGCGACGGCCAAACGGCTGCGGCACAGCCGCGGGACCCATATCGTGGAAAGTGCGTCGAAGGTGCACATGGCCCAGCAAATTGCCAAGCCCTTTCGCTTGCTGGACGGGCGCCCCCAGACATGCGTCCGTCCTCCGATTGAGCGCTGCCCAACCTTTGCTGGCCAGGGAGGGCCAGTGATGACGACCCACTGCAGACACCCTTCCAAGAAAAGCGCAGGAAATGCTCTTGCATGAACGTTGCCTGCGGTCAAAAACTCATTGCTACACGTGACAACCTCCGATTTTCTCTGTTGCGCGCTATTCATGTTGCACCCAGAGACGTGTGCATCATCTCGTCCAGTGTGGACAGCAGGCCCGCAAAGTTTTGATCACAGTGGGTTTGCCCACTGTGCTCCGTGTTTTCCATCCCGTTCTTAAGGGACAATCGCCATCAACGGTTGAAACGCTCCTGCCGCACAGACGCCAAACGGGGACCGAGGAGCGCACCCCCAGGTACCGCGCGCCGCCCCAATGCACCCTTTCGCCGTAAGCAACACGTGCACATGTCTCTTGCCCGCGTTCCCGCTCACCTCCCCGCTGCCAGACTCTCCCTTAGGAATCATCCTATCCAAGAAAACCCTTTCCCACACAACGCACAACCACCGACAATTTCCCCTCCTCCCCCTTCCCAACCACAGGGATCGCCCAGACCAGTTGGACACAAAGAAAAAAAAAACGTAGTCCAAGCCACCCACCACAATGTCTTCTTGCACACAACCCCCGCCGGGATTCCGTCCCTGGCCGGGATGGCCCCCAAACCTCCACGCTCCCGCCATTCCCGCGCCAGCTCCTCGCGCCAGCACACCTTCTCCAGCATCGCCTCCTCCTCGATCGTCAGGTTGGCCGCCTCGACCAAATCCGCGGGCACATCATCGCATGCCGCCCGCCCGACACCCTCATCGATGCCTTGTGCGATCGAGAGGCACGCCAAGAGCAGCAGGAGGGGGCGGCGGGGCGCGGAAGGGCCCCGCGGCACCGCGCGCTGCATGGCGGGCCGTCTGGCACTGTGGAGAGAGGCGCCTGTGTGAACATGTGCCGGCGGGATGTGGTGAGGGGGGGCAAAGAGTGTCGGAGGGGTGGGGGCGCGGAGCCGGGTCAGCAGGTGGGGTGTGTTGGCTTCAAGCGTTGGTTGCCATTGTCACCGACCCGGTAACTAACCCGGGTGTCATCGGATGGTAACGGCGTGCGACTGCTCGCCCCACGGCCTTTTGGTGGGTCCTGTATTCAACAAGTAGGGACATGGATATAATATAGAGATAGGGACATAATGTGGAATTGAACTAGGGGAGCACAAATCATGGCAAAGGGGTGGTCGTGAGTTCCTTGTTTCCCCAAGAAAAGGAGCGTCCATGAATTTGTCGATTGAAAGTGTGGAGTATTGCACCAGCACAACAATTCCTAATTTCCCATGAAAGATAGTCGATGATAGAACATCCAAAGAAACGACTTTGTAAGATTGTGAATGGAGAGTTTCTACCAATTTTGTTAGTACTTCAAAGTACAAAACTGTACCCCGACCCCAGGTCAAACCACTGAGTGGTACTACTAAAACGATTTGGTTATGATATAATCATGCATTCTGGGTTTCAGCAAACACCAGGATGTTATGTGGTCTCCATCAAAATGTGTGATAGTATTATTGTCATGTTAAGCACTGGGTCATAGATAAGTAGTATGGACGTTGATTCGAATCAACGTGAATCCAAGAAATGCGTTGAGCACATTTTTTATTTTGAATACTGACAGCAAGGCGTGGAAAAGGTCTAGAAGCAACGAAAAATTACACTTTGCACATAAGAACATCAAGTTGATGTTATTGTTGAACAATAATATTCGTAAATCAACCACTTTCACAATATTGCAAAATCCCGAGTATCATTGATTGCACTATTGTCGCCCCAAAAGGCTGCTTAAGCATTTTTTTGACTAGCTTGCCATAATGGCAATGCCATTGCCTTACAACCATTCAAACCCCTTCCCCACTAAGCAGAATAGGCAGAAAAATGTGAGGGATGCTGGTTGGTGATACGGAGGGTATACTACCTTGAGCCCAAGGTGCCAAGTGAGGCCACTGACGAGCCCTGGTAGCACAGGACGAAACCGGTCTGGCTTGCCGTGGTGACCCTGGGTTCAAATCCTGGTCCGAGCAGTTCTTTGGCTGGGTCCGTATTAGTTGGGGCCAACTAGCCCGCCATCTGATGCCCATCATGATGGCCCAGTAGGACTAGTACTTGGAGGTGGCTACTAATAAGGGATGAATACTAATACCAAGCAAGCACTATTGTGTGGGTGTCCTCCAGGAAAAAGTTGTTGTGGCGCACATAGGCCTCACGTGGGGGACGCCCTACTAAGGTCTTCTGCTGTGGGGGATGCCTTGCCCAGGATACAATGAGATCACCCAAACCAGACTGTATATTACTCTACAATATGGGAGCAGGCCGGGGCGGTCCCGCCTAGGCCCCCGCAAGGACCTAGGTGCTCAACAAAGTGGGTCCGCAGCTTAAAGAGGGCAGCCATCATGGCTGCCAGTGAGTTCTGAACTATTGCCGGGGCATAGCCTTTCCTTAGTGCCCAAACTATAAACATGTTTAACATGTTGGGTGGCAGTGCGGTGCCTGGCCCGGCTGGAAAACAAGTCTGCCTCGCTCCCATCTCGCCCTACCACCACCGATCAAACCATGCCAATCCTGACCAATTAGTGGTTAGGGTGGTCTCTTGTAAGGTGAATGCCTTATAAACCACCACTTGCCTGGCTAACTGAGTTAGCCTAACTCCAAGTACCCCACAGTTATTGGGGCTTTTGCATTGGACAACGTGCACTCTGGACAACAAAACACTCCTCCCACAAACGCCCTGTTTGACACCGCAATACATTCTCGGTGGAACCACCTTTGCCACACCTTGCACTACAACGGCCCATCCTCCCATAAGTCTCCCGCACACCATCGGCAATTCAGCAGTGGCCTACGGTTGCCTCCAATTGCACCTCCCCGTGGGCCCCCGCTCTGCACCCCCCAGGCCAAACTTGTGGAAGTTGGACCAGAAGCATGGGCAAACGGGTCGGGGGAGGGCAAGTGGGATAAGTGAGTGAGGCGAACAGTCCCTCGCCCGCCAGGAACCGCCTAAGGAGACGGAACACGGGGTGGCGCCCGTGGAAGAAGCGCTTGAGCCACCCTGCCATCTTCCACTCAGGGATGAGCAGTCTGATGATCGTGTCATGTGGGGTTGCCTGCCATGCTTGCAACAACGCCGGGATAATCGTAGAAAAATGCTGGAACAGCGGGTTGCACCAAACCACCCTCTCGGATAGCTCTCGCCAATGCTGTTGTATAGGTCATGCTCGTGAAAAGAAAATTTTGCATCCGGGTTGCACATTGCTCCCATCGTCCTCGGTGCATGCGTCCACACTAGAGGTGGCCACTCGGATCTGTTAATAGCGGACAGAGGTTAATTTCCGTTAATTTTCCGTTAATTAACGGAAAATAACGAAAAAAGACAAAAATTAACCAAAAATTAGCGGATTTTTGGATTTTTTGGGGATTTTGGGTTTTAGTCATACTTATAGTTTATGGAATTCGCTATTAGAGAGTATGTTTGTATTTTATTTCAACCTATGCATACTAGATTTTTAACTAGCCGCAGTTGTTGTGATTTTTTGGGTCTTTTTCGATTTTTTGGATTTTTTTCGTTTTTTCTGAATTTTTCTCCCTTTTTCTTTAACGAAATTTAACGGACAGCTGATAAAAATTAACGAACCGGATTTAACGGACCGGATGGCACCTTTGAGTGGCCACCTCTAGTCCACACATGCCGGGGGGGTTTTAAACTCTTCAAAATGAACAAAAGTCCAATTGGAGAATGCGAGCTGCTCCTTGCCTTTGCTCAGGCTGTCAGCTGCGTTGAGGGGGCCCAGGACGTAATGCGCTCTCATGTGGATCCCTAGGGTGATGGCAATATAGGTGATGTTGCAGACCACCCCCCGGTTCATGCTGCTATGGCTTGCGTCATGATTCACTGCCGCCATCGCCCTGGTGTTGTTTGTCATGAACAACACCTACTTCCCAGCCCATACAGTCCCCCAGTGTTATAGAACATGCAAGATCCTCTGCAGTTCTGTGTGGGTAGAGTGCTCTATATGCAGTTCACTGGCAGACCACTGGCCAACTGCCCTGTCTTCCCAACCATACACTACGGTGGTCATTGAAGCACCTGAAAACCATGGAATCGTTTTGGGAGAGGAGAAATCTCTGAGCAGCAAGCATTGGATGATGTTTTCAAGGACACTCGTATTGGCGACAGTGAAGGAAGATCGCTTGTAGACGATGCCAAGTGTCAGGCAGAAGTTTATGCAATTACTAGAACTATGAATTGGTGCATAAAGGTGCTCAAAGAAGCTCCTTCCTACTCATATTCACAAAATCACTAGAAATGGGCGCTCACATATGCAGCTGAAGATATGTGCCCAGGGCGTGATGAGTGCAACATTGGAACTGGGTGTCCTAATTATCCCCTAGGATGTCTGTGCGAAATAAGTGCTCCATGGTTTTGGAGAGGGCGTTTTAGGATGCTTGGGGGACTTGTTTCTTGTTGGTAGTGGTGCACCTGAGCGGCTGCATGCTTATCATCGAGTTGTGAGCACCATAGCCATGTTAAATCCTGTGCTCAGTCCTTGAGCAGCAGAACTGATCCTGCAAGCTGCAGAACTCGGTGTTTTCTGTGCATTGTGGTTCGATTGGTAATTTCCAGCGTCAAAGGAAAGCACGGTAGTGCAGAGCCCACAATGGTGTGCAGATGTTGCAGGGCAGTGTATCTGACGGGCAGGGCAATTATTATCTGATGCTCTGGGAGTAGTGATGATCGAGTGTATGGTTTCCTTTGCTGCCTTGCGAGTAGATACCACCACAACAGTGCAATATATGCCTGAAACTTCTCACCAAAGTACGCAAGACTCCTGATCAAGTGCCTACTTTCTCTGGTGTCACTGCTGTGTGTGCTTTACACACCCAATATCCAACAACTCAAAATATTGGGACGGGAGTATACTGTTTGGGACGCGGTGTTGTGTTGTGCATCTTGCCTTGCTGCCCAATATGCCAAGCACAGATTATGGCCTTTTGTGCAGCACGACAACTGTGTTGACCTTCATGGCATGGAGGACAGATTCAACAACATAATGCAGTGGTTTACGTCTGGGTGCAGTGAATGCTTTTGGCACATGATGTTGTTCATGTGGAACAGTGTCAACGACACATTTTGGAATGGTTATGCCAAAGTCTTTCCGTCTGCATGTACCTCCACATGGCAGACTAACCCAATAGACCTGGAATAAAAATGATGGGCACAGGCTGTATCAAACTAATTGCGCTGCAGCTTGCCCTTCAATTCTTCGCCTTCTGCCTGTCTGTCTCATAATACAAATAACAATATACTCTTGCCAGTGTGCATGCTGCTGTTCAGCTAACTCGACAGCAGGCGCGATTTTGTTCCAGGTTGTCCAGATGGCCTAAAATTATGGAGATGGCCTCCAGGAAGGCTCTGAGCAGTGTGGCGATAGCAAGTCGGAAGGTGAGGACCGCTGCACGAAGGGCTGACCTGTTGGAGAAGGCTGACTGTTCAGCAAAGCCAGACACTCTGACTCCATAACCAGAGAGGACTGCGACAGTGCCATGCGGACTCAGGCAAAAGAAAACACTGCCACAACAACGTGTCAGGTGGACAAATTGCTGGTTGCACTCTCAAAGCAATGATTTCATCATTCCTACCTCATTGTGCCAGCCTTAGAACGCACTGGCCAGATGGCATCAATTTGGCGATTTCTGATTGATTTGTGGCCATAGCACTGCAATAATATCCTGTACTGCGGTTGTCACATTTCTGGATGTGACAATAGTCTTATTGTATTGCAATGCAAGCCAACTGTTCACTATCCCCCACATCATACAATTGTGTGATGCAGGGGAAAGTGAACAGTTGGGTCGTGACAGGCAT